CTCCTAAATCACTCGTACGCACAACTTAAGAACAAATCTGTGTACCAACGGTTCTTACATGAGGCCCATTGTTTCTAATTTTAGTGATATTACACAGGTGGAAGAAGGTGGTCCTGGTAACATTTTTAATTTGGGGGTTAAAAGACATGTCCTGATCAAAAATAACACCAAGGTTCTTTACATTAGAACTGGAGGCCAGATTAATGTCATCCAGAGGAGCTGAAAGGCTACAAAGTTGATCCCTAAGATGTTCAGGTCCAAGAACCAGAACCTCTGTCTTATCTGAGTTTAGAAGCAGAAAGTTAAGTTATCCTTGTTTTTATGTCTGTAAGACATGCTTGTAGTTTAAGTAACTGGTTGAATTCATCAGGTTTTGTGGATACAGTAAATACTGTGTAACTGAGTATCATCAGCATAACAATGGAAATTTATCCCATGCTGTTTAATAACTTTACCTAATGGAAGTATATATAAAGTAAAGAGGATTGGTCCAAGCACTGAACCCTGAGGAACTCCATGACTAACTCTGGTGTAAGAAGAAGATTCATTATTAACATTAACAAACTGAAATCTATCAGTTAAATAAGACTCAAACCATTTCAGAGCTGTTCCTTTAATCCCAATATCAAGTTCAAGTCTGCGTAATAAAATATTGTGATCGTTAGTTTTGTTTGTCCTCCGGAATAATCCGTGCAGCTGTGGTTAAAGGAACATCAGCTGCTTGGAGACACTCTTTAACATGTTTAAATTTTCTTTTTATGCTCTTCTGGATTTTTATTAGATTTTTGACTTTTAACAGTTTTAAGTATTTTCAGTGATCTTTGCAGTTTTCTCTATCAGAAATGGATAAAAACAATTTATCTGCATCTGTACGCAATTTATTTTGTCACAGAATGTGCTAAATTATCAAGTTGTAAAAATATATGCTAATAGGAAAAAATAAGTGCTTTAATGATTGTGCATTGGCAGTTCCACAAAGAAAAATGTTTGTTTATTCAAAATGGTCATTTTAATAAAGCTTTAATGAAACTGAAATGACAGAACATTACATTTCAATGAAGTGATTATCTACAAGACAGCAGCACGACCTCAAAGTAAAACCTGTAAAAAATGATAATTTAGAAATGTCAGAGGCTGCCATCCAGGACGTATTCAGGATCTGAACAATGCATCATCAGATAGAGGCGTTTGGAAAGCTCCGGGCCGACTCTTCGAGTGGTGGAGGTGATGCCTTCTCCCCGGCGGATCAGGAGCCCAGAGAGCACAGAGACCTTATGGCTCTCAGTCCTGCACTGACTGTAGGCCTGTGAACACAAACCACAGGATTGTGACAATAAAACAATAAAAACTGACCACAATTTGTCTTTCAAAATTATGTGGTGAGGCTGATGAAACAGTGACCCTGCTCCGCGTGGAAATATTCAACCCTTTCTAATTGATGTATTTTCAAGAACAAGTATCAGTACACTAATACTTAATGTAAAATCTGTCATGTAAAATGGGTTTATAAAATGTATAATGTATAATGTAATATTCTGTAATGTAAAATGTGTAATGTAAAATGTATAATGTGTAATTATAATGTGTAATGTATAATGTGTAATTATAATGTGTAATGTATAATGT